TTGGAACATCTCCAGGCCTTTGACAAAAATGCTAAAAGGGAAGCTTGAAATGTCTGGAGATACGATCCTTGAGCCATTGGAACACAGCCAAATAAAAAGAGTCTTCTTGTTGCAGTTAATATCTTTTTAAAATAATTTGTCTCCTAAAAAACAATGAATTCTTTTTCTCTGAGAACTGTAATTTCTAGTTAAAATATCTCACTTTCTTTTTTTGGAAAGTTTCTGTGAAATTAGTGATACACAACTACCAATTAAATATAATTTGGGATCAAATTATACAAATACAAACTTTACTGTATTGAATTATTTGTCTCTAGTGGGATAAATAATACATTAAAAAGAAAGTAATACTTCTACATCTCACAAAGTTTTCATTCCGATTTAATTTTTCTTTTTATTACAACTAAGGTCAGGTGTGAGCTGTCTATGGTCCCCAGCTCCATTTTATTTTGGCCCCCAGTGGGGCCAAAATAAGGAAATAATTCACTAAACCTTCATAAACTTTAATTCTCTTTAATATTTCAAAATGAGCACTGGAAGGTCTATCAGCATATCAAAAGTTACAATTATCAATTAGTTGCACACACAAAACAGTTTCATCATCATACTCAGTTTTCTGTCAGTTTTCTGGAAACCATTTACAATATACCTCAACAGCATCAACCTATCTTAATCCCTAGAGTTAAAACAATCCCAAGTATGCGTTGGTACCATGTATCTTGTAGTTGGCAGGAAATAGGCAGTGGTGGGATTCAGCCAGTTCACACCACTTCGGGAGAACCAGTTGTTAACTTTCTGAGCAGTTTGGCAAACTGGTTGTTGGAAGAAATCATTAGGGCAGAGAACCGGTTGTTAAATTACTTGAATCCCACCACTGGAAATAGGCAATTGTTTTTTGGCTTGCTTGTTGATGGTCTTTAGAGATCCTAGCTAGCAGATTGGCATACGCATGGATGAGATAAATCTATCTTTACTTTGAACAGGAAATGCTGCAGGTGGCATGGATAGTAACCATAGGAATTCTTTATCTTACTAAGAAAGGTTATTATTGGCTGGGAAGGTAGGGTCAATATTTTGGGGGTCTGTTTGGGGACAATCCTGGCGTAGAAGATTCCAACATGGAATGTAGAGATCAACAAAGAAATGAAAAAAGAAAGATACTTTGGATATCTGAAGGGGAAATCATTGTCGGGCTGTTTTGTGAATACTTTTTTGGATGATATAAACCTGAGGTAACATACTGAATTATTTCTGCTGCGGGTGCTTTTATTAGAGTCACTGCTATCAGATGAAGTACTGTATAAATTGTTTAAATAAATAAATAAATACATAGACAAATATATTTCAGTACTGTCCCAAGGTTTTTTTTCAAGAGGCAACTGGACTTTCTATTTTTTCTTTGAAGATGTTTCACTTCTCATCCAAGAAGCTTCTTCAGGTCCATAGATATTTCAGCACTGTGTTGAAGCTCTGACCCCTCAGCTGCATCTTTCTAGCCTTCTTCCTGTACTTCTGGTATGGCTAGCTGATGAGAGCTAAATAGCTTGAAATAGATCTATACTAGTCTCCCTTTATTTCTTTGTCGGTAAAATATAAATTCAACACAAAAAATAGTTTATTGCGAAAGCGACTATCTGCAAAGGCTCCTGGATTGGGGCTGAAAGGCGAAAGCAGAAGCAGTATGCTCTGTCCCATATTTGGGTAGACCAGGTTGCCCTAATAGACCGGTTTCACCGGAAAACACTTAATCTCCCCCCTGGTATAGCTGACAAAGCAAGGAGAGCCCATGGCTTAGCGGTTAATACATCTACCTAAAATGCAAGTAGCCTGGGTTCGAATCCCAGAAAGTGCATGGCTAGCTGATGAGAGCTAAATAGCTTGAAATAGAGCTATACTACTATTTTATTGGTAAAATATAAATTTAACATTCTGGCAGTTTTACTAAAGTAGTATCTTGTTATCTGCTCAGCCAGTTGCTTTACTTTTGAATACTTTCACAAGAAATAAACAGCTATTCCTTAGCAAAGAAAGATGACAGGATATGGTTTTCTGATTTTCCCTTCCCCCTATTTCTTGCCTCCATTTAAGCTTTTCCTATCCCAAGTTCTAAGAAAAAATCATATAGGAGTGTTTGCCACTGCAGTGCAATCACTAGTGTTTTTCTCTAGAAACATGGCCTCTGTTTCTCATCACTAAGTTGAACAAGAAGACTGGATGGTGTGGGAATTTAGGTTTCTCCTCCACCTGCACACAAACCTTTTCAGATTAATGTCACCATTGGGTCAAGGATATCTTGTCTCCTTGCCACCACACCGGGGTGGGTTCTACTTACCTTTACTACTGGTTTGCAACAGGATTGCATACGTGCACTTGCTTCACTTGCGCGCTTTGCTTCTGCAACCCACCACTGCACCACACGGCATTACCACTAATCATCAGATAGCTGGACTGGTTTGGTTGGGCTTCTTTACAACTGAAATTCTTAGCATTTTCTTTTGGAAGCTACATATCTGCAAGCCGGAATAATAGCACAGTTACAACTCTTCTGTCAACTCCACTCGTTGCTGGCCAAAATAACCAGTCAGTTTCCCTTAACATCTTATAGCTGCTCAGCTGGCTTCCTTTCATGTGGAAGATCTGTCTGAATCAGCTAAAGCCTCAGTGCTCAGCCCAGTTCATCTCTCTGGAGCTTTTAATTCTTTCTCTCTCTGGGACTGGGTTACCCCAAATGAAGCCACCAGACAGCAATCCATTGGTGCAATAAAAGCAGAAAAATAACTATATTTTGCTGCTCTAATTGTAATACTATCATTGTTAATAAAGGCTGTTAGCAGTGTTTAAACAGGTTCATTTTTCATCATCTAGTAGCACTCTTGAGTGTCTCAGCCTAGAGAAAGCAATTGGTTAAGGCAAAAAAGAGGTGACACCCTGAACATTTGTTATGGGTGCATGACAAAAATAGGAGTGACATAAATGCTGCACTTGATTCCAGCTGGGTTGCTTATGGCCATCAAGCCGCAATTGCTCCATCTTGATTTGGTAGACATGCCTCCGTCCTTTAGAGGAGTTTCAGGAACAATTGTGTTCCTCTGGTAGATAACATTCCATTATTCCATATTTTAAATAATACTTTCTTCTATTCATATATATTAAAAGTTCCAGTAAAGTTGGCACTAACAGTGTTTTCTGCAGTTGCTTATTTTTATCTGCATTGTGGCATTTTAAAAATGAAGGAATGCTTTTTTAAAGTTAAAAAATCTCATTGAAAAGCTAGAAATGTGTTCCTTTTAATGTATTACCAAAAACAAGAAAAACTATTTTCATTCATTTCAGAAAGAACATACCGTATTTTTTGGAGTATAAGATGCACCTTCCCCCCCCAAAAGGGGGTGAAAATTTGGGTGCGTCTAATACAGTGGTGGGTTACTCCCGGTCCGGTCCAGTTCGGCTGATCTGGTAGTGGTGACGATATGCTGTCACCAAACTGGTTCTCCCCCCCACCCTCCCACCCCCCACGTTATTCTTACCTTTTATTTGGTCCCATCCCCAATCTATTGCTGCCTCCTGAGTCCCAGCTGATGACTAGAGAGAAAAAAACTGTTTAAACTCTCGCCACGGGGCTTCAAAGGGCCGTCCTACAGCTGATCAGTGTTAAAAGCAAACAAATAAGTCGGGTCGTAAGTGCGAGGACTGGTCGTAGGTGCGAGGACCTTCCAGAAATGACTCTGACCAGCTAGCCACGCCCACCTAGTCACATGACCTCCAAGCCACACCCACAAATAAGCCACGCCCACAGAACCAGTAGTAAAAAAATTTAGAACCCACCCCTGGTCTCATACACCGAATGTAGCCCCTCCCACCCACTGGCCCCCACCCTTTGGCCTCTGCCTCCCAGCAATTTACCTCCTTGCAGCAAGCAGCAAGAAGAAACAGCCTATTTCAGGTTCAGCACAGTCTAATTAGCACAAGTTGATTGTCACCCACTCTCAGCTGTTTCAGGCTGCAGGGATTACCATTGCCTATTGCTGCGCGGGCCTCTGCTGCTTGCTTGCAAGGAGGTAAATTGCTGGGAGCAGATTTTTTTTTCTTGTGCTAATCAAGCTATGCTGAAAATGAAAATGAAAGTAAAGCAAGCTGTTTGCTGTTTTCTGCAATGAGGTAAAATTGCTGGGAGGCAGAGGCAGATTTTTTTTTCTTGTTTTCCTCACCAAAAAAGGTATGTGCGTCTTATAGTCCGGTTCGTCTTATACTCCGAAGAATACGGGCAAATCATTTGCACTATGTCAGGCTTCTAAAAAAAAATAACTTAGGTTGTGTTACATCCTAAAACCTTTGATATAGCTGTTTTTTTGTTTTTTTTTCATTCTTTCTTTCTTTGGAATGTATTATAATTTTTTTCCATTTAGCCACTTTTTGTCAGGGTCTTCCAAGACAGTACTTAGCGTGGAGTAGTACATTGTAGTATAGTAACGATATGCTATAGTATACTTTTGGATCAGTGGGGTCCTAGCTTTGTAAATCAAGATATTGGACAGTTATTTCATGTTTTACTTCCTGGGCAACTTTTTTTGTGGTAAGAAGAAAACAGAGGGAAAAGGGGTTAGAAGTTGAAGGATGCTATCTTTTGTAAAATTCAAAAAATGTGGCAAGACTATTGTATGAGAAAAACTTCACTTACAAAAATTCAAAGTGCTCTGTTTACCCTAGCATAATTTTCTTCCATGTGTCAGTCAATACTTAATTACAAACTCAAGGCCATCTTCATAATCAAAATGAATACAATGAATTGAGAAACATTTTGTAGACACATTTTAATCTGTGAATGTCTGCAGATGGGTAATTACAATTCTGTAACTTCTGCCAGTCTATTTTTAAAACAAATTCAGCCTCAGATATTTTGAACTATGTCTCACTGAGCTCTATGTGACTTTATGTAATCATTATCATTAAGAGAGGATTTAATTACATGTTCTAATTGTTACATTTTTTATTTTGTTTAGGTGCAGAAGTGATATATGTAAATTTAACTGCTTATAATGATGGTCATTTGCAGTCATCATTCTGGATTGTGGATAAGCAACATGTGTACATTGGAAGTGCCAATTTAGATTGGAGTTCACTGGGGCAGGTATTAGTTCTTTAAACTGCAAAACAAATTCTTTTAAAAATCATAATTAACTTGTTATGGAAGAAATAGCCATTGGCTTTTGTATATGTGGATCATTTATATTATGGTTAATTATTTCATTTCATGATATAACTCCAGAATTGTACTGTTCTTAACTGAATCTTCTAAAATTATAGAAAATAATATGATACAATAGGCTATATGGCAACCTTTACTACTATTATTAGTTTTATTAGCTTTGTAGGCTCAGTTTCAATTGCCCATGTACCAGTGTGTACATTATTCTCTGATGTATAAGGCATATAACTTGGATACAAACTGTTTTTTCCTCCAATAGTCCTTCTTTTTCTTCTTCATAGATAGTAGGAAATTTATTTAAAGAACCCTTTTGCAGTTAATAGTCTGTATGCAGAATAATTACGTCTGAGGGCAATGCAGCAGGTTTATAGGCTTATGGTCAACAATCAATGATGTCATTTTCTAGATCTAATGCTTTTGTCACTGTGGATCTACATGCCATTTGGCAGATACTAGCTTCTTCACTACTATGAAATGCAACAGATTGGATGACATTTTCCCCCAACATCAATTTCCTAAATAATTGATTGTTTGAAGCAACTCAGTTGCAGGCCCAAATGACACCGGAGATAAAGAGAGACAGAAACTGAGTGCAACAGAATCCTGATCTTATTCCACTATTGCTTTTCTTTTTTGCATCACAAGTCGTCAGGCAAAAGTATCATGTTTTCCCACATCATCTAGATGACATAGGGAATGTATTAAGCTTGTGCAAGCTTCTATTCAGCACATCTCTGTGAAAAGCAAGATGATCTATTCCTTGCCTCCAGTAAAGCATCAGACGCAACAAGTTCTAACTATTAAGGTGATGGTAATCCAAATGGTTGCAATGCAGAACAACACTGACTGAAGGACCAGACGAGTGAACAAAATGTATGGCCTTTCTAGATGGATATATAAATATGTCTCATCATGCCGTGCAGTTTCACATATCTGCTGTGATGGAGTTATTTGATCAAATTATCTTCAGATGAAATCACTACATCTGTCAGGCTGCCACAGAGACAAAGACAAACATGGTTAGCGATTGTATCTCAACGTATCTCAGGGAATGAGGCTACAACAGATGGTTCCCAAACATTGAACAAATTGTAAATTTAGTTTACAAATAGATCAAATTAGATCAGATTTTGAGCTTTCAGAAGAGGAGACTTGGATTTGATCTTGCCTCAAAATCTCTAGTTTACTAATAACAAATGCCTGTTTATATTCTCTATAATCTTGATCTGCCATTCAGATTAATTACTAAACTAGTCAGGAAATCACTAATTAAACTCTGATATCCTGATAGCTACTTCACATGTGTTTAGCCATGGTTTTGTTTCCGTATGTATAAATAGTTAAATGCAAAAGTGAGTTTGGGCTTTTAAAAATGTAAAAAAGGGAACCCTATGCATGTTTAATCCAATGTATTTTTATGGGCATTATTGAGTCTTGATTTTGTTGCTGGTTTCTGGCTTCAGTCTTTAGCAAGACTGTTTTTAAAAAATGTTTGTTTGCATTGTTTGCTACCCATTTGTTTTTGTAGCCCTGTTACCAAAAGAAACAAAGGGCAATTCACATTGTTTCCTGTAAGTCAGACATTTTATGGCCCGCAGGCCACATCTCTCTGCAGGCTGTCCCAGTCCAACCTGCAGTGACAGGCATTGGTAGTGGAGGGCAGGGTGTTATCGGCATTGGGTGGATGGAGTGTTGGCAACATTGGCAGGGTCTTGGCATAGCAGGGGTGGGGTGTCAGCATTGGCAGCCTTCCACAATGGTTCCAGTTTCTCATGTGCCCCCTTGGGGAAATTAATTTCCAAGCCCTGCTCTAGGTGACCAGTAAAAATAATTTTGATTCTAAAAGAACATATTAGTGCTGTTGTTTCAAAAGAGGGATAAAATCATGTATATAAAGAGCCTGCATAAGATCTGACAAGTGCTTTCATATGTTATGAAACTTAACTACTTTTTTCATAGTTGTAAAAAATAATACTATAAGAAATAGCAATAGCAATAGTGCTTAGACTTATATACCGCTTTACAGTACTTTACAGCCCTCTCTAAGTTTACAGAGTCAGTATATTGCCCCCAACAATTTTGGGTCCTCATTTTACCCACCTCGGAAAGGATGGAAGGCTGAGTCAACCTTGAGCCTGGTGAGATTTGCACTGCCAAATTGCAGGCAGCTGGCAGCAAAAGTAGCCTGCAATACTGCACTCTAACCACTGTGCCACTGTGGCTCATATGGTTCCATATGAATGATTCCATATCTGAATTAAAATTAGCCTAATGAATATATTCAGCTTCTGAAGGGATAAAATTGTCAAAGAAGAAGAATGGTCATTTTTGCATATATGTTTAATATTGAAAGCAAATAATTTCTTCAGGAGTGCATAATTTCTAACTTTACAGCCTCAAAGCACCCCTGAGATGATGTGCTGTACTCATATTTCCCAATCATCTTGTCCCACCTGGAGGGATCAGAATCTAAGTTTTAGGACTGCCTGTTCCTTATTATGTATTGCTTTTTCTTTGGCACTAGAGCAGCCTTCCTTGCAGATTTGACATGCTTTTTGAGATTTATAAGAGTTAGTGGAAGATACAGTATGTGCAGAGCATCATGTTTAATACAGAATGAATAAAGGTGATGCTAGAAACATAGTGTACTATGTTGACCTGCAAATGTGAACCAAGGAGAAATTTATAAGAGAATAGTTTTCCAGGAATTGGAATTGTTGTGCAATCATTTAAAACTTATATTGTATATTCACTGTGTCAATTTTTATTATAAAATAATTTAAATTAAAATATAAAATAGGCATGTGCTGAAGCTCTGTCCTTTTCAGGATGGAATTTACTATCTGCTTACAAGCTATTTGTTATAATATGAAAACCTGTCTTATTCTTTTTGCTATTTATTACTGATTATTTCCAGCACCAACAAATAAATGCAAAGGAAGACAAAACAACAGGATTCCAGTTTAGACTGAGGTGCTCAACATATGTGTATATATTTCAACATAAGTAATAGTCTTTGCAGCAAAAGAACATCTAATAATCACATCAACCTGCCTTATAATAGACAATGTGCCTTGTAATACATACTTTGATTTCACAGATGAAGGAGCTTGGCATCATCGTATACAACTGCAGTTGCCTGGTTTTAGATTTACAAAGGATATTTGCCTTGTACAGTTCCTTGAAATCCAAGAGCAAAGTTCCCCCCACTTGGTCTAAAAGACTGTATGCAGTGTATGGCACTAAAAATAAACTGCTTCTTAAGTTGAATGAAACCAAGTCAGAAATCTTTGTCTCAGTGAGTATTTTTGTTCTTGTTTTTAGATAATTTTAGCTGCTAAGTTGCTCCCCCCTAAAATTATATCCCTAACATACTCAATATTTGCAAAACCAATAGTGCTATAAATTTATTTATTTATACACCAAACTTCTTAACCACACATTGCCCTCATAGATGCCATTAGCGTGTAAATTATGTTAGTGGGAAGCAACATATTCCTGTAGTGAAGACTTGCATCTTTATGTATGAGAAGGAAGTTTGTTGCTACCTGATATGGGATGTCCTCGGAATCTACTATTCAATGATTTCCTTTTACCCAGAAAAATTCTGGCAGCAATAAGGAATAAAAATGAACTTAAAGGAGAAGATGTGATTCTAAGGAGGTGCAGATATATCTAATATATGCTTATTAGTAAAGCAATGTTAGGAACTGTCTTGGTGGTAATACAGCGGCTCTCCTATGAAATCTTTTGGGCCTATGAAAGGAGACAGAAAATAGTACCTTTGTTCTAGGAGAAAATACTTTAACCAGATCAAACACAGCTCTGTTACTGATAATTTTATTTGTAATTATAACTGAATACTACATCTTTCCCTTTCTCTTTTCTCTTTCCTCTTTCTTTGCCTTTAAAATATTTCTTACCTTAGTTACAGCCTTAACATATTTCTTTTCTTACTAGATACTTAAATTATAAGATTTAGAAGCCAAGGTACTATTATATTGATCAGGCTACTCACGTCACTAATCAATTGTATTTTAGCCAAAATAGAAACAACTGCTAAACCCATTTTTTTTGCAAAACAGTCTTTCTTGGCTGCAGCCTAAAGTGTAATTTTCTCTATAGTATTTTATCTTGTAATCCTAAAATTGGCCCTGCAGGTGATCATAAGGGAAAATGCTGGACATTATTATATGATTCCGTTATCTCAATAACAAGGGGAATTATTAGAAAATTCCCATAAATTTGTTGAAGATAGCCTGCAGTTGAAAGGAAAGATTCTATTTCAGCTTAACCAAGGCACAGGTGAATCCCTCCAAGTTTGAAACTCAGGTCAGACACCTATCAGGGAATGTATTGAGTGCCTGAAAGCTGCCTTGATGAACATCAATATGTAATATTTCTACTCCTTTTTAATACTTGTTCAGTTACAGACATTGCTCAAGGACAAAAGCCATAAAATGACACCTAAGGTCATTGCTCATTTGAAACTTCTTCCCTTCTTTAAAAGGGAAATATGGATTTTAAAGTATTTCTCTGTGTGCAAACTCATATGTATAATTATGGTGCTCCCTATTGTTCTATTTCAAGACCTGGAAGAACAATGAATTTTTAGTAATTTCCTAAATGTCATACAGGTGGGAGCCAGGTGAATCTCTGGGGAGAATGTTCCAGAAGACAGGAGCTGCAACATAATAAATCTAAAGCATAATTAATAGAAAATTATATTTTTGCCTTATACCATACTATTAAATATTTTTGGCTAATGATATTGCTGAAGTCTTTTTATTTTTTTAACTGTTTTTATTTATTTTTATTTTACTCTAATGTGAACTCCCTAGAATCTTTTGATTTGAATTAGAAATTAATTCAGTAACACAAGAACCCTTCTGGTCATGCAAATGGAATTATCTTCAGTTTTTTCATTCCTGCCCCTCCAGCATTTACTCTGGAGTATCCCCAATTTATCCAGAGAAAATTATGAATTTTGTAGTTACAAACATATATTTTTAATTATATTCAAGACTCCATTACAGATAATGATGGATTTTGCAACTACGTGATTTAAATAACCTGCATTATTTATTTAATGCAGAATAATTATGAATTCAACCAACACCCTTATTAGAGAAATCAGAGATAACAATTATATCCTGCTTTTCAGAACAGAAATACTTTCATGGTAGCATATAAGCAGGGGTGAAATACAGCAGGTTCTAACAGGTTCTGGAGAACAGGTAGCGGAAATTTTGAATAGTTCGGAGAACCAGTAAATACCACCCCTGGCTGACCCCAGAGTGGGGTGGGAATGGAGATTTGCAGTATCCTTCCCCTGCCACGCCCACCAAGCCACGCCCACAGAACTACCACTGCATATAAGTAACACAAAATGTATCGATTGATAAGACATCATGATAAACACTACTAAAATATTAAAACTTATACAGGCCATCTTGTTACAGGTGTGAGTACAATGATTTTATAATTTTACACATAAAAAAAACTGAAATGAGATCTTTTATATTTCTGTTAATATATTTTTAACCTTCTCTCCACAGAATTCTCCAAAGCTCCTATGCCCTAAAGACAGGACTTTGGATACTGATGCAATCTATAATGTGGTAGATAATGCTGAACAGTTTATATATATAGCTGTTATGGACTATCTGCCTATTGTTAATATAATAAATAAGACAAGGTGAGTAGACACCAGAAACCTTCATTATGTATTGTTATATTAATATAAATACATTATATTTTCTGAGAAAAGCATTTGGTAAGAACTCTCTTTCCCAGTTTAGCACATTCAGGAGCTTATGTTGTAGAGTGATTAAAATGTTAGGACTAAGATCTAGGAGAAACCTATCCTCAAGCATTCAAATTCACAGGATAACTTTAAGCCAGCTACCTAGTACTTCACAGGTTTGGTGTAAGAATGGAATGAAAGAACATCTCCTTACGTATTCCCTGGAATTCCCGGAAGAAATACAAGATATAAATCTAACAAATAATTAATTTATTCTAATAGTACTTGGACTTCTGTTTCCAGAATTCCTATGATACTTGTTGGCTGGAAACTATAGAAGATGTAAGTCCCAACTAAACTGAAAAGTAGCAAGCCTGCAAAGGTTTAAAGATTTTGTAGATTTTGCTGAGCACGTCTGAGATTCAGTCACAAATCCTGCAAAAAAAATAATAATCTTTCTTTGCAGTTCTATAGCTAGCATGTTTCATTATGTTGATAAGCAACTGGTCATGTACTATCAAAAATGTAATTTATTTCCTAATTTTCCAACTTAATGTTTATTTTTAATATATTATTTATTCAGACTTGTTACCACACATTATGTTTTCAATGGGAAAATATATAACTTGATTTTCTAATGGGACCTGTCAATTAGAAGTGATATCTAGCAGAATCACTGATTTCTTATGTGCACAGGAAATCCTAAGGAAAAAGCGATCTAACCAGCCCTCGTATCCCTGAGTCAGTATAACAGAGGTGGGTTTCAGCAGGTTCTGACCAGTTCTGGAGAACCGGTAGCGGAAAGTTTGAGTAGTTCGGAGAACTGGTAATAAAAATTCTGACTGGCCCCACCCTCATCTATTCTCTGCCTCCCAAGCCCCAGCTGATCAGGAGGAAATGGAGATTTTGCAGTAACCTTCCCCTGCCACACCCACCAAGCCATGCCATGCCCACCAAGCCACGCCCACAGAACCGGTAGTAAAAAAAATTTGAAACCCACCACTGCAGTATAACCATGAGAAATTCTATATTTTTTCTATGCAAGAAAAAGAAAAGAAACTACACTACTATCCCCAATTCTAAAACTCCTAATAAATTTGATAACATTGCCTTGACTAATACTATTTTAAATTGTGACTGAAAAAAAGATAAAAATACCCTATCATATTACAGAAAGTTCTCCTATAACGCTTCTATTTTAACTAAGACAACCAGGATCATTATCACATTCCTAGCTCTACTTTTATCCATTCTTGGACTTCCACTTAATTTTCTAGCCATACAGTTTGACCTTGACAAATGCTACTATACATTTTTGTTTCTCAAGACATTGATAAGTTCTACCTTTTTCAATGTGAGAGATTGTTTGAGAGTCATGGTACTTCAGAATTGCTTGGTTAGGGTTTTATTTTTGTTTTTATATCACAAATCCTGGCTTTTCATTAAAAAAAAAACCTGAATAACATAGGCTCCTTTTTTTATAGGTATTGGCCTTTTTTGGATGGAAAGATCAGAGAAGCACTGATTCTACGCAATATTAAAGTGCGACTCCTTATAAGTTTATCCAAAGAAACAAATCCCCTCACTTTTAACTTTATTTCATCTCTTAAAGCAATTTGCACTGATGTTTCTAACTGTAGTTTAAAAGTTGTAAGTATTCCTTGTATTGTTTGTTTATATAGCTAAAACAATATTCTAGTACATTTCTTTAGCAATCATGTTGAATCTCAATCATATGAATTCCAATGTAAATCCACAGTAAAATAAAACAGGGTCTTTTTTCCTCTTAATCTAATAATGGAAAGTGAGGGTCATTATTTCAAGTTTCCGTATTATTCTCACTGCCCATTCTCTGCTTAGATTGTGTTTGGTTCCCCTCTTGCCAATTAAGCATGGTTGCGATTGTGGTATATGTTGTTTCTTTGATTCTATGAATCTTTCATAATTTTCTTCATAATATGAGTGAAGTCATCTCAGAATATTGTTTCCTCTTTACCTAAAATCTAAAGAATTGTTCAGATGTATTGTTCAGTAATATAATTCCTCTTGCCCTATAGCAAAGTCCTAAAAAGAACTATTGTAACTGCCCCCCGCCCATGAGTGCAGCACAGCTTTCTCTTGCATTTTAAAGAGGAAGGATTTGATTCTTTTAAAACTATAGTTATGTCCAGTCTCAGACAAACTGAGTTAGGTTTTCAATGTGATTTAGGAAAACTATTTGTGGTTTAGGAAATTGCTTACTTCTCTTATCCAGGAAAAAATAAATAAAGCTAATAATATTGTAGCTGAACATCTTTTGGTCTCTTACTTTGGGCTGTAGCAAAGTAATAGTGGGGAATTAGGGTATCAGTTTGAGGACATGCTACTTACTGCCTTTATGAATTACAGATAGTCCTCGATTTACAACAGTTCATTTAGTGACCGTTCAAAGTTACAATGGCACTGAAAAAAAGTAATTTATGACTGTTTTTCACACTTACAAACATTGCAGCATCCCCATGATCATGTGTTCAAAATTCAGACGCTTGGCAACCTACTCATATTTATGACAGTTGCAGTGTCCCGGGGTCATGTCATCCCCTTTTGTGACCTTCTGACAAGGAAAGTCAATGGGGAAGCCAGATTCACTTAACAACCATGTTACTAACTAAACAGCTTGAATGATTCACTTGCCACAACTGTGGCAAGAAAGGTGGTAAAATGGGGCAAAACTCACTTAACAAATGTTTCACTTAGCAACAGAAATTTTGGGCTCAATTGTTATCATAACTCAAGGACTACCTGTACTTACTGTTTACATAATCACAACTAGCAATAAAGTATCAAGCTTGTGAAAATCAACTTGTCTGTTAATGTGGAAATTTTGCAAAATGCAATCATAACTCCTCTTTATATTTAGATTATTTCATAATGTTTTTATAGATTTTATTTTCCCTTTTCCAAATCTGATAGGTCAGCATGTTTAAATTTCAAGTTCCTTCAGCAAAGTGGAGATTAGCTATCTCTAAGTGAGTTTTTTTTCCCATTTAATTCAGAAATTCTTTGATCTTGAATCAGAAAGTGCATGTTTTATTAAGGAGCCAAAAAATTCTTCTCTTCTCAAGCTAAATCGCAATAAATATGTGGTGACTGAAAGAGCTGCTTATATTGGTAAGTAAAGAATTGAATGAGCTAGTTCCAGTCTGATTATTTGTATACTGTTTGTAGCTTTGAATCGAGAATAACAGATTAAGTATAAAGCATTTGAAGAATGAAAACCTAATTGATATGATAATTTATATAAAATCTTGTTTTATTAGTAAACATTAGATTTGAAAAAATTAGCATGTGACATAATCTGCTTACATATGAAGCTGAGATTCTCATGGAGAAGGCAAATTCAGTCTGCCTCTATATTAAATATAAAAAGTCAAAAGTGTTCAGCCTGAAGTTTAATTAAGAAAAAGAATTGTTCTTGAGGAATGTTTTTCAATCATTGCATAACTTTGATTGTCCTTTCATTTACCTTATAGGTAATTTTGACTGGGTTGGGACCTATTTTAATCAGAATGCTGGAGCTGGTCTTGTCATCAACCATGCAGACACAGGGAACAAAACCAGCATAATTAAGCAACTTAAAGCTGTGTTTGAAAGGGACTGGTATTCACATTATGCTAAAAGTTCAACAGCAAAGATTTCAAACTGTCTAATCTACAAACACAGCAAAGCAGCAGCCAATAAGTCTGCCATAAGCAATATGAACTGACGCCCCTTGTACTGTTCAGTATCACAGCCAAGGGAGAAATAGAGTAGGACTGATGCTGACTCCCACTTTCTTATTTATGGACAATAGACTTTTTTAAAAATTAAAAAAAATTTATAGTAAAAAAGCACACTTACATAAAATGTTCTTTAAACTATATTCTGTATACTGTATTATTTACAAATGTTAGATTTGTTACTGCTGACAATGAATGTCTTTTCAGCTTTGCTGTTGGTTTAGACATATCTCATTCATATTTAAAAGCATGCTGGATTCTTCAGTTTAAAGGTTATTTCTACCTCTCTCTGCTATATAGTAAAATGTATATACAAAGCAAGTTTGATTATGGAAAAAAATTCTTAGAACAGTTTATAGTAAGTGCAGATTTCCCTCAGTCCCATAATTTAAGTACACACAAAGCCTGTATTGTATAAATAGTATATTCCCAGTTTAAGATATTGATTGTCTACCTGAATTTATAATACTATGTCCAATCCATTTATATTTAAATGACCTATTATTACTTGAACCTCTAAAACAAAATTGTAAAGGGAATAGTTCTAATCAACCATAACCATTACCTTCTCCCAGTCATGCACCAATTTACTTTGATTGTCTGATTTTTTTTAAAAAAAATGTATGCTTTAATCTCTACAAAATACATTTTTATTTTTTAAAATATGATGCAACAGTAGGTGGCATGTAACTTTACCTGCCATACTGAAGCAAAATACTTGTCTCTGCGTAAAATCGTTTCTGCAAGGCTAAAGTTTACATTTATATTGTGAAGAAATGGGGAACAATCCACTAGGATGGTGTTTCTCAACCTTGGCAACTTGAAGAATTCCCCAACCACTTCAGTAGGGGCTCAGAGGCAATTCACCCATTCTTTCCTTCCCAGGCAGCCCACAAGGGAAGATGAGCATTCAATTCATGCATGCCTCCCTCCTCATCTCCCATGTAATCCATTAAGCAATCCCATGTAATCCTGATCTCAGTATCATTCTTACGAGAGTCCCCGTGGAAACCCTCTTGATGTCAGCAATTGTAATGCAAATGAATTGTGATATGAGGTTTACTCAAGCTTCTGATAAGATACTGAGAGATCTTAAAATGAAGTCAAAAGTTAAAATGACTTTGGCGGTAATTGATAGTCGAATATCATGTTAACAGAAAATGGCTTTATTTAAAAAAAATATGGTGAGTTCTTCTGTTATTTAAGATGTTTATCTTTACTGTTCATGGAGAAATAATTGTTCCCACTTTAACATTTTCCAGATAAATATTCTTAGACTAACTTTTCTAACATCTAAATGATTTTGTTTACTGATGGGTTTTTTTTAAGCTCCAACTATAATAATGTCATTTGGGTACCTCTTTTTAATAATAACAAATCCTTATAGATTTCTAAAGCTTACAACATAATCTATAGAATTTCTGATTATAAAGTGGATTTAATTTTAAATTTTTAGATTTTGAGAAAGAGAAGCAGAGTAATTAATATGAGAAGATAATTTTTTTGTAGGCAAATGTATTATTTCGCATTCAAACTACTCAACTCTCTATTAGCAAGCCTATCATTAGTATTTAAAGTATTTTTAAAATAAATTCGTACTAAACTAAAATTAATCCATCAGTTTCCCCTACAAAGTGAAAATCCAGGAAAAATAGGGAAGCCTTATACTATAGTTCTAGAGCACTGTTTGCATGTATACAATTATATTTTTAATTTGTGGTAATTATAACAGCATGTCTGTTGTGATAGGTTGGAAAGGTTGCTCAGAAGTTGTATTTCCATATCACGTTCTGGGAAATTCTATAAATTGTTATGAGTAGCCATTTATTAAAAACTCATCAGTCCCATTCACATTCTTTCACTATAGATCTGAGCTTCCAAATTTCAGCTTGCTTAATATTGAAGGCAGGGTATTCAGCATTGATAAATTCAAGTACTTTCTTCTGGCTGAGCAGGAAAGTTTACCATATTTTTCAGAGTATAAGACGCTCCAGACCAGAAGACGCACTTTTTTGATGAGGAAAACAAGAAAAAGAAATCTGCCTCTGCCTCCCAGCAATTTTGTTGCAACAAACAGCAAATAGCCTGCTTTACTTTCATTTTTGTTTTCAGCATAGCTTGATTAGCACAAGAAAAAAAAAATCTGCTCCCAGCAATTTCCTTCCTTGCAGCAAGCAACAGAGGCCCATGCAAAACAGCTGGGAGTCGGGAGGCCAATCCAAAGGACAATCAATTTGTGCTAATTAGGCTGTGCTGAAGCTGCAATGGGCTGTTTCTTCTTGCTGCTTGCTGGGAGGCAGAGGCCAAAGGGTGGGGGCTAGTGTTTGGCCAGGGCTACATTCGGTATATAAGATGCACCTAAATTTTCACCCACTTTTAGGTGAATTTTTTTACCGAAAAATACAATAATTTGTTTGAAGTGGAAAGTGAAAGCACCAACTTTCAGAGCTAGCTGATACAATATATGGTAAGGGTTGCAATGATGCTGGAAGGAGATGAACGGAACACCAAAAACTTTAAGACTATTCATACAGTCTCTTCATATCAGTCAGAAGTAAACTGACTTCAGCAGGGTGAATATAGATAGAATTGCACTGTAAAGTTTTCTTTTAAACTGATTTCCTAAAGTTACTTATTGCAGACATATTCTCAGGGGTGGGCTGTTGGAGGTCCACAGGGGTTTGGGAGAACCTCTGGCTAAGATTCTGGGCAGTTTGGAGAAGCCCCAAATCCAACTCCTGGCTGGCCACTCCCACCCTGCCCCACCCATCTCAGGAGTCCCCATGCAGCCCATTTTGAATGCAAATAAGTGCAGGGCGCGTGCGGAGGCTTGGGGAAGTGAAAAATGGGCCTACCGGAAGTTCGGGAAGGCCAGAAACAGCCCATTTCTTGCCTCCGGAGTGTCCCTGGTGCCTGGGGAGGCCATTTTCGCCCTCCCGGAGGCTTGAAAAAAGCCTCTGGAACCCGGGGAGGGTAAAAATGCCCCCCCTGCTGTGGTACAGAAGGCTGACATGGCCACACCCACCATGGCCACGCCCACCCAGCAACTGGGCAGAGAACCCCTTGCTAAAATTGTTGAAGCTCACCCCTGCATATTCTCCTCCTTTTGTCCATCACATCCATTATTTTTGTCTAGAAATTTTATGTTCTAATGATGCTGAGCTCCTTCTAGCAGTTTATGATTTCTGATAGAACTAGAATATTTGTAGCTCAGGGTTGAAATGAGGGGGGCCTTGGTGCTCTCTGAGGTTGGCTGTTTTCTTGCAGACATTTCATTACCCAAACTAGGAAACATTGTCAGTGCACTGATGATGTTCCCTAGTTTGAGTAATGAATTGTCTGCAAGAAAAAAATGAAGCTGAGAGAGACCAAGGACTCCTCAGTCTGCAATTTACCTATAGAAAAACCCTTAATAATATATAATTCAGTCATCATTTTTAATGTTTATTGAAACAATAGAGGTGTTCATGCACAAAATGTGCTTTGTTTCCTGCACAGAACATAATAATTTACATGAGCATTGTGATTTGCAAGTTTTGTCATTGATGCCTGATCTATTTATTTTTTACATATCTGGTATCACAATTTTTTCCATAAATCTGGAATCCAAAGCAGTTTTGGATTATATGGACATAGCATGTGATATTTTCAGAGTGCAAAAGTCAAGGGGGGCAGCTAGATAATTATAAATAGATTCAGAAAAACTCTTAACTTTTTGTTGCCATTAACTTATCATTGGTCTGAAGAGTCAGGTTCTTTAAATATGTACCCCAAAAAAGAAAATTTATTTTGTTGCCCGGTGGCATCCACTTCCTACTCCTACAAACAAACAAACAAACAAACAAACAAACAAAAAAGGATTGTGGAAAGCTAGACATAACAGTTCAGAGAAATAGTGTCTCCTTGCTGGCTGCCATCCATGCTAAATTCAGATTGCTCAGCAATTTTGACACTTGAAGTGCTACAGAAAATCTGCCACAAACATCAAACCAACTTCAAAAGCTTTGCAGCAGAATGCACCACTAGCTGCATCACAGAAATATATTGTTGGAAGTCACCTAGTCTAGCACCTTCCAGAAGCCTCAGATTCCCACCATATGGCTCTGTTTAAACACTTCTGAGCAGTCCACAGTGCACAAGAGGATGAACGCATACTTATGTACAAAAGAATTCATGATGCAGAGGGTACATGTATGGATATACAGTGACACATACACCACAGCCAATACTCCAAAAGCTAGCCAACCAGAAGTGAAATGCTACCAGTTTGTGCGAACCAGCAGTGATAAAAACTACCGGTTCAGTTGAACCAGTAGTTAGGTACCGATTTGGTCGAACCAGTAGTTTAAAAAAGCTACAATCTGACGATCACCTGTGCCATGCGGTTTACCTAAACTATGGTGTGGTTTACCTAAACTGCACGCCACAGCTGATCCCCCCTCGCTGTTCTACTTAACTTCCCAAGCCTCCTTTTTTGTGCATGCTGCACGCACACATGTGCAGTATGCACCAAAAGGAGTCTTGGGAAGGTAAGTAGAACAGCGAGGGAGGGATCAGCTGTGACGCGCAGTTTAGCTTCGCTAGAAAGCAGGAAATCCTGCTTTCTAGCAAAGCTAAACCCTGCAGTACAAGTGATCAACGGATCGTAGCTTTTTTTAACTACCAGTTCGCCTGAACCAGTAGCTTTTTAAACATCCAACGTACGTTTGGTGCGCACTGTGCATGCACGCAGCGCGTGTTTGGTGCACACTGTGCATGCACACTCAGTGCACATTTGATGTGCACTGCACATGCGCACATAGCACATGTTTGGTGCGCACTGCACATGCACACACAACACACATTTTGTGCGCATGCACACGCATGCGCAGCCAGCAAACCGGTAGCAAACCAGTTCAGATTTCAGCACTGTAGCCAACCACACTGAATCTCTGATTTTTTAATTCATTCAAAATGCTTTTTTTAAAAATCCCCAAATAGAGTCAAACCAAAGTAAACTGTTTGTCTATAACTTCAGAAAAAACAATGACTAAACTACATTGATGATAATTTGCTGTGTTTAGCTATTATGGAGCTGTCAGAGTGCCTTGCGAATCATAATAATTAGAGTCACTGACTTCCTGAATCTCCATCAGGAAAGCAA